ATAAATACCGCAGGGACAATCTTCCTGGCACTTGTAGCGCTTCTGTCCTCTCTTGGTTCTATCGGATCGAAGGCATAGTTCCTTCTCTCTTTTAGGAACTTGTGACCCCCACGGATAGCCTAAGGAACGATGTCAGGTCGAAAAACGGCCAGGACAAGGCTAATACGGGCCCCAGAACCTACTTAGCTGAAGGGCGCACCCGAGGCGGACGAGTTTTAGGCGTTGTAAAATTCGAAGGGTTTCATCATTCGCACCAGGACCCACACCTCGCACGGGGGCTGCTTACTGCAGCCAGCTGTATGCAATGGCGCGAACATTTGAACACTTCGTCCAAGTAACCATGCAATTTCTGCCTTACATTCTGGTTTTTTTTTTACAATTCTTGGTTTTACTTATTTATCAAAGTCTTGTATTCCTTTGAATATGCTTATCTCTGCTTTCTCTTCGCCACTTTTGTACAATTCTCGATTGTCACTTTCATTGGCGATATTACTTTATAACTCTAGACAAATTCAACTCAAATCACCTGTAACTTATGTTTTACTGCTGTTTTGGAATCCATTTTTAATGACGTCAGTAAGTGCTCCGTTCTCCAGTTCTGCTATCACCAGCGAAAGGAGTCCAGCAACCGTTGCAATGATTGATCCTGCTCGTACAAAAGAACTGAAGCTTCATGCACTTGCTGATTTCAGATTCTTTTTGCTTAGAACTTTTATGGGTAGTCTGATCATTGGACTAGAGCCATTGGTGGTGAATATATGGCTTTCTGACGGATTCATTCTGTACCACCCTAGTCCGACGTCCATCATAATGTCGCAGAACAAACCGAGCTTGTGGTGTTCGATTCTCTGAATTCATAGGGTCTCTAATCTTTGACCATTGGCATTCAGCAGTTTGGAGGTTAATTTGGTCAATTTGTGCCTGTCAAGAGCTACTTTTCCGAAATACGTTGATTAGTGCTGACTCCTAGTTGGGCATGGCTAGTGCAGCTTCATGAAGTTGACCTTCTCTGCCACATCTTTCAGTCCAACAGTCGTTTTCGTGTGCGATAGGAAAAAATGGACAAGATAGTATCGTCCTTCAGATCTCTCTCTTTACGTAGAACCTCATTGCAGAATTATGAGATTCCAGTCGTAAGTGTTGAGCCCCCATCGTATCCCTGAAATTGTGTAGGAACACCATGGATGCTCAGGCTGAGGTGACCACCCTTCCTTACACTACCGAGGCAGAAGCGTACATAATAATATCTTGTAGGTGTGCTGATGCCCTTCCCGACTTCAGCTGCCTCATTAAGCACTACATAGCCTAGAAGGCTCAGATGCTACTCTGTAATTACCATCTCGACTTACTGCTTGTGAGTTTTCTCTCCAACCTAACCTGGTTTGATATCCACTCGAGAAACCAAGCCTTTCATCGCTCCGGGGTATGTTGGTTGGGGCCGCAGTCATCATCCGAGGGATGTGGGGTATAAGGGTCTGGTATCTTTTCCCCAAATGGCGAGCGGCGTGTCGTGCTCGCCGCACGCGATCGCGCGTCGTGAAGGGAAATATCCGAATTCCCAGTGGAAGAATACGGACTCACTGCCGCAGGCCGTGGGAATTCGGGGAGAAGTTCCGTTATCCGGGGGTCCATATATCAACTGGCCACCGAAAACATTGCCTTGCCCAAAAGCGGTTCAATATGCCACTTCGACTCCATTCAGACTGGAAGGTAAGTTGGGGACAGTTCAAAACAGGATTGAAAAGCACTGAAAGAATTACTATTCACCGTAATGATGTTCCTCGTGGACAAGGATCTAACTCTGTGAACTTGCCAGGCAAGCGAAGTGTTGTCAACTTTTATCTGTTTCGGGCTCCCTTGAGAACTGCGGCTCTCAATAGCGTAGACTTGAGGTTATTGACGATCACCTCAAAAGAGTACGGTCCCCATAGAGTAGGAGCTTTTTGCTCCGCAAAATTGCTTGCAGTTCATACCCGACAAGCTACGTGCCAACCCTACGAACCTCCTCCTAAGGCTGCAAGGTTTTTATACTAGTCGATGTCTATCGTCAGGGGCGTCTCAATAAGGGCATCTACACCGCCGTAGTCCCCGCTGCCGCAGTCTGCAAGGAGCCTTTCTGCTCCCGTCCTCTGAAGAACATGGGGGCGGTGCCCCGGACGTTCTAATGACCGTAACTGGCCCTACTTTTTGCCTCATAAATACTTCAGTTCACGTTTCCACTTTGTACATGACCAACTATCGCCCTAAAAATTTATGAGCGCATCCGAGACCCTCCCAAGAGTTCACATGAATGGTACCTTTTTGGACCGCTGTCTCCACAGTGTTGACCCACACGTTTAGCTTGCCTCGCGCTGACTGAGAGAGTAGTATGCGTTGGATTGTCGGCTCTCCCATCCCAAACTTTACACTGAGAGTTTGTTGGTAAGTAGTTACCACGAAAATCGGGCCTTTCCCATACTCCCGAATGAAAATTCGCTGGATTGACATGCAAGAATCCATTCGTTTACACAAGGCGGCACGGAGCCTGAGGTCACCGTTGTCTCTCGGCTAGATCTAGCACATGATAACTTTGGGTCCGCGAACTGATTCCTGGGTTCATGCTCAATAGCCCATACATGATAGCCTTGCTTTTCAGTTGGGGTGGACCCTCCCTGGAGGAGATTTGTGGACTCTACATGAGTAAAGTGGGTAATTTATCAGGCGACGATCAATTTTCTCAAGCCTCATCGTTTCACGAAGTCATAGAAACAACAAAAAACATGATCGATTTACGAGTTGCGGGGCTATCAGGTGAGCCAGGTGGGGCTGAAAAAGTTTGAATGGGTTCGATCTCACACCACAGGAATCCTCGACAGCGCTTCCACCCGTGACGCCTTATCCCCTTCACCTAACTTCATCCTAGGGCCAATTAATTAAATTGTAAACGATGCTCAAGCTGCTCCTGGCCTATCTAATATCTCATGGGTTCATCAACAAATGAGTAGTAAGAGATTACGGAAGGAGCCATGGCTGGTGTTCATCATGATTTTAGATACATTGTTTGTCAATAGGAATGAATCCAAATTTCCATTACTGCATCAACATCAATCTCATCGTCTTTCATGGTTTTAATGGGTAGGTTTCAGTTTATGAGTTCCAAACTGGTATAGCCTCTCGTTGCTCCCCTGCCCCACCCTTCATGGTCATTGTTATGGTATGAAGGAGCGAACTTTGTTCTTTAGCGGTAATTAAAATGGGGAGGGTATGAAAAGGATGACGTCTTCTGATGAATCCCGTCTAGAGGATGCGCCCCACATTCGACTTCCATCCAGGATCGTGGGAGCTTGTTGTTGAATGCGGATATGGCTCACCCGATGACTTGGGGAGGGCAGCTGACATACTAGTCAAAGCTTTTATCCTCCCAGATGAGTCTGGTACAAATTAACCGATCCTGGAGGGAGGGAAGGCTTGGTTTGCTGCGCGGATATCGATCCGGGACCCGAACTAGAAACCGTGCTTGTGTAGTAGTGCGCCACTTCTCCCTGCACCACTTCCGCTAGTAGAGGTAATTCTCACTCTTCCAACTCAACCTTAAGGAGTGGGGTTATTTGTTTGGAAAAGTGGGTATAAGCAGTAACCACACGAGACTATTTGAATTTGTACTACTTTTTATTGAATTTTAGTAGTGAACGCAATGTGCGTAATTAATGTTCTCATCGATACTGGGTGACAGAAAGTTATTAAAAAGTTAGCGAAATGGTTGTAAAGTATGCAGCAGTAATGAGCATTATCTAATGAAAAAAACTTTTGCGCATTGTCTTCTTTGTGAACTGTTCCACTTAATCGATCCTTGCAGCGAATCATTGATTACTACTATTGATCAATATTTCGACTCATTACTGTACTTGTTCCATAATCTTCGATCACGACCTTGTAGTAAGACGGTCTTTGATTTCCAGTTCTCTACAACGAGTGCGCTCTAGCCAAGGTTATTGTAAAGTTACTACGAAAGTAAAGTTACTGCGAAAGAACGGTCTCACTATTCCGATAGAGGGACTTGGGATAGTAGACGTGGGGAATTTTGCCAGGTCAGGGGATTCTAGGATGATTCAACTCCCTCCAAATCTAATACCTCGTGCTCACGGAGGTCCAGGGTTTGCTGATATTTTTAGAACCCGTTTTTCTTTTTCTTTTGAAAATTCAATTTTGTCTCGATTTAGTAGTTATGTGTTATTTGGGAAGGAACTGACGAAAATTTCCCCCTCGATCCAGAATCCTCCCGGGATTTCCTGGGAGCTTCCAACTTTCTGGGATCTTCTGCAGTTCTTCTTGAGTATGCTACCCATGGGTGTATGCGTATGCAATAACATACCCGACCACCTCTTCTTTACTTATTTAACCACATAATAGCCGAACGGTCTACCCATACTCAATACTTATTTCCCTACCAGTTCGAACCCGACCTGACCGCTGCTGGAACCCATCGGAACTTGTGTCAAGCCCTTGACCTTGAACCCCTTCCAAGCGGTTCTTACGCACCTCGTTCCAATGCTCCCAGGATGACACAAAAAGGTCGAAGACGAACCGACCTGACCAACGGATTGAGATATCATGAAATCTTCTGATTTTCATGCGCTTTCCAACGAGTAGCGTCGTTTTCTAGTAATTCTCCTGGAAGCTTCCGGAAAAACCCGACAAGAATCTGGGTTACTGCAAAATTTTCGGCAAAAACTTCCTTTACAACCTAGTAATACTTGAACAAAGCTGAAACTAAAATATGAACATGTTTTATTGGAAAATTCTTTGAATATCTGACTAAATTGCATCGAACGGACTGATGCGGTTCGTTCTTGTGCCGTATTAGGTTCCAAGATCGAATTCTTACTCGTGTTCATTGTTGGCTCGATAAGAAACGGGTTTTTTTGTAATCATGATAGTTGACAATCGGCATTTTCTTGTCGTTCTTCAAATGCCTCTAGCCACGGTACGATAACGTGACCTTACCATCAGCCTGGTCGACCATGACGATGGTGCGACTACTGCTACTTTTTTGTGCAATATATCATTGTGTAAATGGTCAAGGTCCTGGCGGTCTACTCGAACGGATTCTAGGTAAGTCAGTGTTTACCAGTTATACTACTTCACTGTTTTCATTGTTCGCTTTATATTTGGTTTGTGTTTTTTTTTTTTGGTTATACCCGCCTTTCTGTAGAGTCCTAACTTTTCATGCTACTGTTTTTGACTGCGTAAAAATCTGGAGGAAGTCTTACTGCCACTGTAAACCCCATTTCTTTTGAAACTTCTATTATCAAATTTTATAACTGATTTCCATTAGCTAACTATATATTATTACATCATTACATTGGGAATTATATTACCCTACTCTCTAGTGGCAGGCGATCATTGTTTAAGCCCACTCATAAATTCTCATATAAAGGCCAACCTTGCTTCTTGGCAACTGG